CAGTTATTTGCGGAACACCTCGGACAGGTAACCAATTTGAAAATGCTATTACCGTTCATTAAACACGTACACCTGATTTCACTTTCCGAGTCACTAGCTTAAGCCGTCGAAATGGAATCTCGACGATCGCTTTGTTCACTCGAGACCACTCGCCAATTCGATACCTTTGGACGATCCGATCAGCCACGAATTTTGGTACGCGTTTAAAAACATCGCGCGACGGAACACCAAAATTTACGCGGAGGTTCGACTTCACAAAAAAAAAGGGGAAAAAGTCACCAAAAATCCCGGTTTCGTCAACAGGTCTTCAACTGCATTCCGTCCGACAGCATAAGAAAGCATCAGCAAGCCAAGTTAATTGTGGCCTCTGAAGCGTTGTTCACATGCAATCCAGCTGAAGCAGAGAATCGTCTAGCTCAAGTAAGAGGGCACTTGGTGGAATACCCTTTACATTTCCTGGAAGACGAAAACTTGTCTATGACTGTGGGAACGAAAGAATTCTTCTTGCCGGCATCGTTCTGGACTTAGAGCTTCGCAAAAATTACAGCAGTTTGGGGGTACTGTATTCCGAATTTCGAGTGAAAATCAAGTGCTGAATGATGACATTATTCTACAACATGCGCATTTTCTGACTTCTTTAATGAGGCAATGAGTTGACGCAGTGAAATCTTCCATGCTTTCCTTTTACATTTTGCGTCACCATTACGGCATCCGCACTTTAAATGTAATCTCGTCCTCCCTAACTCAATCGCTTTCCCTCTCAGACCGCCATAGCTCGAATATTCTGGAGGCATTTCGGCTATTACTGTATTTTGATGACGCAGGAAAAAAGCACACAATAAAATATAACTTGATGTACTGTATTAAAAAAAGAAAGTGGAAGACTAGTAGGGAAAATGAACCCTTTCCTAAAAGGCCAGCATCCTGTGTACTCCTTCACGAAATAATTTAAAGCTCAGAATGTCACAATTTACAATATCCTTTACAGTATTTATTTATTTTCCCCAACAAAAATGTTCGCTTCCTCAACTGAAAATTTTTTGCTGGTCTCCTTGAAATCAGACTCGAAAAGATTCAAATTATAATTTTCAACAAAATCGATGATACAGTATTGTTTCGAAGAAAATAAATTTTCCA